TCTTCAGCAATGGAGGACATGCTAGGTGAAGCCAAGCTGGATGAATGAGGTCTGAAGCCCCCTTGTTTCATCAGGAAGGATGATGACACTGTTATATTTGGCTTGGAGAAGAAAAGAAATGGCTAGGATCATGGCTGTCTGCAGTGTGGAGTAATGCATGTGGAAAAAGTCAACTTACTCAGCATTACTTCAGAGGAGTACTTCAGAACAAGGATAACTAAGTGGGATTGATAAGCAGGCAGACTTTGAATCAGTAGAGAAGAGCAGTTTTTCACAATGGAAGTTGAGAAATAGGCCTGTGAGACCCTAAGTTCCCTGCTCTGGCAGTGCAAGGACAAGGGCTAGAGGCCTATTGGGAATGCTTGTTTTGGGTGGGGGTAGACCAGCTGACCAGGTAGCCTCTGTCTTCCAACACTAGTTTCTCCAGTACTCTGGCCCTGGATCTCTACAGAGGAATGGGAAGGAGGCATCACTGAAATGGCAAAAAGTTAATAACATGGAGATCAAATGTACCAAGAGCATACCACTGTTGCCTTTACAGCTTTTCCTACAGTTTACCAAAAGGCTCAACATGCTTGTGTGGATGCAAGCTGAGATGCCAACATCACTCAACTGTGCCTTGTCTTTGAACTGTTCTCACCTATCATTCTCCCCTCTCAGGGAGTTCTTCTTTGGGTTGGTCTTCTAAGATCTGCCCATTTGGAAATTCAAATCTTCATGGCCTGTATTTGTGGTTACATCAAACCCATGTGCCCAGTTTCTTTGTGTTTCTTATATGAGTCTGAGCTTTGTTTCCTTGGGTCATAAAGGTTGTGAGGGTTTGGGGACAGCTATAGTCTAAACTAGTTAGGAGTTGGCAGTTTCAACGTGGGTATGAGTTCTATTCAATAAACCACAGTCTCATTTGGCAACTTGAAAGGCATTCACTTTTTATGTGAGATTTTTTTACTTGCCTGGCTTTTCACACCTCTTACCATTCAGAGAAGATAGAAGAATCCATAGGGAACACTTCTGTCCCTAGTGAAACTAGAATTGCAAGGCCCCAAGGAGGGAGATGAGGGATTTGTTGCCCCCTGTAAATTGATAACTAGGAGTCCCCAGCCCCCTCATACAGCTGAACAGGCTGCTGGAACAGAATGAAATAAAGGAAGTAGCTCTTTGTAGAACATCTAGCCCAGCATGCATTTATTCCACCTGAACTCCGGCCTATTCTGGAGAAATCTGACCTCCCCAGTGGTCAGTGCAGCCCTCCTCCTTCTACAAGATTGGAAATGTGGAGTTGAAGGGAGCCATGAGCACTTGAAGAAAACTTAGTTCTGAAGTGAATTCTGATTGAGCTTTCAAGGAAATAATCTGTAGGCATAGACAGATGTCTTGGGGAGCCATTGGTATCTGAACTGCAGCCTTCAGTAAGAATTGTCTGGGACAAGATTCCATCTTGATTAGGGGGCTGGAGGGAGCGCACCACAAGAAGTACAGGAACCTTCAGGAAAGACCAGAGCAAGAGGTTAAGGGATAGGGCATGCAGAACTGAGCCAAGAGCCGCCAGGTGGGGAACAAGGAAAAGTGTCGTTGGCAGACGTCCATGGGCCCTGAACTAGCAATACCAAAGTAAAGACCCTGTGCAGGGGACTGATCTCTAGTCAGCTCCACACCTGTCCCTGGAATGTGGGGCTCCCCAGCTCCTCCCCCTGTTTGCTTTCTTTCTTCAGAAGGACCTCTGTGATCAGGTCCCCTCTTTGGCAGTTCTGAAACACCTGGCATGGTGGGAAGGGGGCCTTTGACGTCAGTGGGGAGGTTGTCTACTCAGGTGTAGCTAATTTCCTCAATGTGGGGTTTTGTTTCTAAACCTGGGTAGGCTGCCTCACAGCCCATCAATAAGTGTGTATATGTGTGTGTGCGTGTACTCGTGTGTGTATGGGGGGAAGGTACACAAACCTGGGATGGGCTGGGGGTGGGGGAGGGGGAGTGATGCTTGACCCATCATACCACAAAGCCAAACAAAACATGTTTAGATTGGGCCCCCCTCCTCAAACTCCAGCCCACCAGACCCCACAGCCCCATGGGATGTGGGAGGGTCACCTTTCCTAATATATAGACCTCAAGTCCTTTCTGGAGGCAATGGTTAGGTCATGCCCTTCTTGCTCTGAGCGGGTCCCGTGGTGAGTCCTCAGGACCCTTGTCAGCATAAGTCAGGAGGAGGAAAGGTCTGAAGATTTCCACAGAACCAGAAAGACAGCATCTAGTATTGGGCTGTGCAGAAACTTCTGTCGAGATGGCAATATTGTCCCCCAGTCTGTGCCCTGGCTGTACAGGGAACTAAGGGAGTTTATTGAGGTTGGAAGACAAATTGGCCCCCTGAGGAGACAACACTTAGATGATTGCTTTAAAGGCAAGTACTGGAGCGAATTTCTAATGAGAGCAGCAACTGAGGGAGGACAGGGAAGCTCCTGCTACACGATCTCTGGCTCTGTCCCTTTAAAGGAAACCTGTCTGATCAAACCAGGTGGGGGAACCATGGTAGCCAGAGCCAGTCCTCCTCAGGGAGTCTAGAAAGAATCTTTTGTCAGGAAGGCCAGAGTGAGAGCAAGCTGCAGAAAGAACACTTGTCTTTCCTCTCCCTCCTCTTCCATGATACCCTTTCTCAACTGGAAGACGTGTGCCAGGCATAGGGTCAGGGAATGCAAAGTGAACTTACAGAGGGTCAGCAAGAGGATGGGCAGGAGGGCTCCAGGAAGTGAGGGGCTTTGGGTTTAGGGATCAGTCCAGCATCCGGAGTTGAGGACCAGAAACGCCACCCAATTGGAAAGAAGCTTCTTCCCACATCCTGATGGTCTAGATTCCTCCAGCCCTGTGCAGGAAATCAGAAGAAGCCCAGGTAAGAGGTCTTGTGAGGGAGAACTGAACCCTAGACCAACCCCCCCAGCCAACAGGACCATCTGACTTTTCAGAGGAAGAGAAAAAAAAGAAAGGCTGATGTTTTTCTGTTCCTTTCTTCTGTTGAGCTATGGTGTCTGGGGAAGCTAGTCCTACAACAGGGAACATTACAAAGAACTCTAGAGAGAATTTAGATTCTGGAAGCTTCAAAGCCCTTGCCTTGTAGATAAAGAAACCATGGTTTTCCAAGGACCTGTCCAGGTGATAAAAGAGCCTGGACACAAGTCCAGGGGTGCTAACTCACAGATCTGAGCTCTTCTTGCTCACCTGGTGATGGAACCAAGTTAATCCATCGGCCCTCAAATCTCCTCACCACACTTGCTGCCCACTGGGTGAGTCTTCACACTATTTGTCATCCTTTCCACAATTTTGTGACCCACAACTCTAACATAGGATGGTTCCCAGGGCAGCACCACATGGAGTTGAACTGTGGGAGGCTAATGCACTGAATTTGAAAACTTTATTCCTAGGAGTCATTACCTGCTGCTTCCAGGGTGGAGGTACCTGGTCCAGGCATCTTGGCCTTTCCGCTCAAGTCCTGTACCCCTTCCTCAGACATGCCAATAGAACTAGACCATCTCAGCATCTACAAACCTCTTAACATCCCCACTTAACAACCTGTCTCTTTGGTGCCCCTCTCTTACACAGCCATCTTAGATTACTATAGACATATTCTGTATAGCTACAGAGAGTAGATGTTTCTGGAATACTCCAGGATATTGAAGTTATCTGATCAGAGAATGGACAGCCTTGTATGGTATGTGATCTCCTCCAAAACTGGCACCAAAGGATGTGAGGTCTGGTGAATTGCTGAGGGAAGGCTGTCCTGTGAGGCTTGAAAGGGCCTGTGGCCAGGCATCTCCTGGATAGCAACACCCTGGCCTTGATACACCCCTTCTCTCAAGACATAGATACTTATACAGTATCTACACCTTCCTTTAAGGCTGGTGGGGGAGGGGAGTAAGTTTACTTTCAAGTGCCAACTCTAACTAATTAGTATTGGTTGTCCGAGCATTGTGTTAAGAAGGAGTCTGAGGCTGTTTTGGAACTTATTGGGAGAGTGCTATCACTAATTAGCTATGTTTGCCATAGATAACAGAGAGGAAGGAGGCAGGGAAGAGGAAGTAAAGAAAAGGAATATGGAAACATGGCTACCGGAGAAGAAGCTGGTGTACAATGGCCCACAACTTTCCTTGGCCTTTTATTGGGTGTCACAAATGTAATGATACACAGGTGGTTTGGAGTGGGGTTTGGGGGAGGTACTCTTGTTTTAGGGAGGGGTGACAAATGGGTCTTAATGATGGGTTCCAGATGCTCCATATGTTGAACACTGCAAGCAATGTATGGATGGTATCGATCCACCTGCAAGAGACAGTAACATCTGTTCAAAATCTGAGAAAGACGACTTACAGAAAGAATTTAGGCATGGGCCTGTCCAAGTAAAGATTGATTTTCAGTAACATGGACTAGATCAGTTTTCCTCTTCTGAACGATGTCATACATGATTTGGGTTTGTTTAGTTCCTCTCAAAGAAAATGCAGTAGGTTTCAAAATTGTATTTGACAGGTCGGGTCCTCTACAAAATCTTTTTTAACCCTGGTATTTGAATGGTTGATGTTTTCTGGACGTTCAACATCAGTAAAGGCAGAAGTACTACGGGGCACTACTCTCCAGGAGCCGCATTTCTGAACAGATACCATGCCTCATAATTGTGCTTTCTTTCTGTGAGTCAATGGGAGGAAAGTGCTGCTGGATCCCTGCCTATAAAAACACAGGTTGGGGCGCCTGGGTGGCTCAGTTGGTTAAGCGACTGCCTTCGGCTCAGGTCATGATCCCCGAGTCCTGGGATCGAGTCCCACATCGGGCTTCTGGCTCGGCGGGGAGCCTGCTTCTCCCTCTGACCCTCTCCCCTCTCATGCTGTTTCTCTCTCTCTCTCTCTCTCTCTCAAATAAATAAAATCTTAAAAAAAAAAAAAAACACAGGATGGTGGCAGTCCTCGAGGGCAAGGGCCATACCCCTGAAATGGCAGTGTGAAGCCACATGCATTGGGACACTTAATAAGGCTCATCAGGGAAGGAGAGCCATGACTCCTGCGCCAGGCAGGCAGGCGAGGGTTACTCAACCACTAAGGTTTACCCACGGGCTATCAAGGACAGAGCTTTCCAATCGTGGGCCACAGCTCACGCCACGCTGGGCCCACAGAGCCCCCACTGGCCCTCTAAGGACCCAGGTGGGCCTGGTGGGCCCTGAGTCCATGGGGGCAGGCCCTCTGGCCATAAACAGCATTATCTGTTCACTGCATCATGCCACACACTATTTTCCATGTGTGCCATGATGTTAGGGGGAGAAAAGTTGAAAGAACCCCAAAAAGTAAGTTATTATGAACAAAATTATTCTTGGGCTGGAGAACACCCAGCCCACCTCTTAAGTGCTTAGGGATTTGTGGCCACACAGAATGGACTATGTAATATGTAGTTTTCCACAGCCCATGGAGCACGATCTCTGCCTTCCGTGGTCTGTTCTCCTCTGTCTCCTTAACTGAGATCTTCCAGCCACCCTCGCAGGATTCCTGGGTTTCTGGTTGGTTGGTCACAGATGGTCAAGCATTGTATGACCATCTGTAAACTTCCTTTCTTTTATCTAAGTGCCACTGAAAATAATCAGCTCTTATCCCGTAAGCTGCAAAACCCTAACTCGACTCAGCCATTACCTTTGTCAACCAATGAAAGGCTCTCACCTTTATTTCAATATTTATCAAGTATTTAACAATGACAATGAGATGTATTATTCTTAAAAATAGCTCAAATCCTGCAATAGCCAATGATTGTTCCTTATAGCATTCAGAAACTAAAATGTGTAGTATAATTATCCCTCGTTAATTTATTCAGCAAATACTTCCGAGTGCCTACAGAATACCAGGCTTATGCCGGGTGCTGGGGAAACCAAGGTAATCGGGTATAACCTGGGCTGCCGAGGGCCTCACCATCCTGTGGAGGTGACAGACAAGAACACACAATTGACACTTGGCAAGATGAGAGTCAGTGCGGGCAGGTGTAAAATGCCAGGTGTGCGCCGGGACAGGGAGTCCTCCTGCCCTCCGGCCTGCAGCCATCCGAGGGCAGTGGCCTCCCCGGAAAGGGATCTGACATGGGAGCGCTGCAAATTATTTTCCAGAGCCTCTTGCAAGCATTGTCTCATCTTCATAACAATATGAGGAAGAAACGGAGGGTGTCCCTCCAAAATAATTGCCATCGTTCTATAGATGGAGTTCACAAGGGCTGCCGACGGCGTCTGTATATTTCTGAGAGGCATGCATGCAGTGGGGAAGCATCAGTGAAAACAGCATGCAGAGATGAGACTCTGGTTCTTGGCCAGAGTTACTGCTGCTTTCTTGTTTCCCCACCACACCGATGGAACATTTATTTCTAGAACATTTGGAAGATGTGTTCAGGATATTCTCGAAATCGCCTTTATCCATTAGGAAAGTCTCGAGCATCTGTCCCAAAGGTAGGGGTAAAAGGCTCTCATCTTAGCTTTAAGTATTTTCACCGCCTCGGGAAATTTGTGGCCTTATCTCCAGTTCTTGGTGGCATCTGCTCCCCTTTACCTTCTCAGCTGTTGGCTGGCACGTTGGGTGGGGCTGCTGCCCTCAAGGTAGTGCCCCCCACTTCAGTCGTACCCACGGGACAGCCAGGACCAACCCCGTGTCAGACCCTATTTGGTGCCACCTCCCCAAAGAAAGACCAAAAACAGCGTTCAAGGGAAAAAAAGATACTTTTTGCTTTTGCTTTTTGTGGCTGGGACATCAACCCCAGGAACATACAGTAATATGGGCCCGGCCCCCACTTTCCTGGGCGCCGAGCAGGTAGCAGAATCTGGGGTGCTAACAGTGAAGGGCCAGGGCATGGAAGGTGGGCCAGGCCTCCTGCCGCCACTTCCAGAGCCTCTGATTGGGTGTCAGGAGACCTGGGAGCAACTCCGGGCTGTGCCATGATTCATGAGCTGTATGACTCAGTTGATTTTTCGAGACACAGGAGGTAGACTGTGATCTTGTAATTTCGTGCAATTCTCAGTCTAGGAGGCTAAGGTCAGAATACTGCTGTGCCCAGGGGGGTGGCTGGGGTAGCTGACACTCGGCATGTGAGAAACGAGAAGCAGCGGGCCAGCAGAGGTGCCCTTCCAGCCTGGCAGATGAGCACTTGGGATTGGCGTTCCGGCAGAATGCCCCGCTGTGTCGGACGATGCATGCTACCCCCTCAGTCCTCATCCCCCCACACAAAACCTGTCTGCTGGGTGTCCGAGGGTAGGCTGATGTTCCAGGTGTCTCTGAAGCACAGGATCAGGGGGCTCCTCCAGGTCTTCGAGTAGTTCCCCACTAGAGAAATAGGGCAGACTGGCTCATCTGTCTCTTGACATGTATACGTGTCTATGACATGGTTTCTGAGGGGAAAGGAAGTGCACGTTTTCACAGGGGGAATGGAGAAGCTGGAGGCTTGACACTGAGACGGATGCGATTCCTACCTGCAGCTTCTGAGCCACCACTCCTGCCTTTCCAGCTTCCAGACGTGATTCCCCGCCGCACCCCACCCCCCCCCACCCCCCACCCCCACCCCGCCAGCTGCCTGCTTGGCTCTCACCGCGTGCGACCCGGGCGGACACTGACCTGTCTTGCTTTGTCCCCGGCCTAGGTGGCAGTAGGGAGCAGCCGGCCACAGCAAGCCCCAAGGCCGATGAGGCCTCGGAGGCCGTGCCCCCCAAGCCCAGGAGTGTGTTCCACATCGAGTGGTCATCTATTCGGAGGAGGAGCAAAGGTGGGTGCTGCTCCCCTTCACTCTCGGGTCCTCAAATGACTCATCTCTAGAACGGGGACAGTGGCAGTACCTACTTCATAGGGCAGTAGGGAGAGCCACGCGGGCCAGGCTCATTTTTATCACACCCAACCTCTGACCACAGCCATTGCCCCGTTGTCTGGACCCTCCGGGGGGTGCGGGGGGTGCTGGAGCTGGGACAGGCAGCCGACTCAGGAGGTCTCCAATTTGACTGCATATGGGAATCACCTGCATCCCATCCCTGGAGACACTAATCTAATTCATCTGGAGAGAAGCCTGGGTGGGCATAAGGATCTTGCAAAGCTCCCCATGAGATTCTAATTTTTGCCAAGCCACAAACCACCGGTCCACTTACAAGACGAGAGGTGAAAGTTCTCGCCTACAGTGGTGGTCAAGATGTCAAGGCCAAGGAAAGAGCGGGAGAGCCATGGAAGGGAGGGGACGCCCACAGGCCAAGAGGGGAAGCCAAAAATGAGCAGGTGGGGAAGCCAGGGAGGAGTTGGGGGCAGGGGGAGGGACGCAAGACGAGTCCTCCTTCCTCCCCAGTCAGATGCAAAAGTAGCCACGTGAAGAGCCAGGGCAGAGGGGTGATCTAATTCTGCCCCTCAAGTCCCAGGGAGGTGAACAGAGTCACACAGCTGCCAAGGGACAAGGGGCGGGGGGAGGACCGGTTAGTGTCCTTTTTACAATATCACATGCTTCCCAGAAGACGTGTTCGTTACATTCTTGCTCCAGTTCATCTAAGCTTCATCGTTTCTCACCAAAAGTGGCCGACCCAAAGAAATGGGCCTGGGTGCTGTGGGAAAACATCATACAAGGTGGAGAGGGCATTGAGACATCTCAGGGACCCTCTGGCCCAGGGGTTTGTATTTGACAGAGGCCACCGGCATGGCAAGAAGAAAGTGTGGCTTGCTTCAAAAGGTTAACAATCCCCTTCCAAACATCCTCCGTCCCAGTGGTTGGGGCCTGGTGGAAGGGAAGCCCTTTCAGGGAGTGCAGAGGAGCCTGGGACATGGATCAGTGGAACTGCTCAACAGCAGACCCGGGGCAGCTTCATGCACAGGAAGCGGCTCCATCAGGACGCCACGCACACTGGCCTCAACATCTAGAGGAATCTTTGCTCCTACTCTTTCTTTCAAATCTTCCAAAATTAATTTTTCCTGCATAGGGTAACTTCCCAACCATATTGGTATTTGCAGGCCCTGTCCCTTCAAATATGGGACGTTTTTGTGCCATTCATGTGCCGTTGTTGCCATTGATGCATCTTAGGTACCCTGAAAGCTCATGAATGCAGTGGGAAGAGCCAATTCAGTCTGAAAATACCGGGTGTTCAGAGCCCAGCCTGCCATCCTCAAACTTGACCACGAGAGGGAACCAAAGCACCAAGACCGAAACTTCCAAAGTTCTTTTAGGATGCATAAAACCCTACTAAAATTGGTCATCTTTAAAAATAAATGATCTGGTGGGGCACCTGGGTGGCTCAGTCGGTTAAGCGTCTGCCTTCGGCTCAGGTCATGATCCCAGGGTCCTGGGATCGAGCCCCATATTGGGCTCCCTGCTCGGCGGGGAGTCTGCTTCTCCTTCTGCCTCGGCTGCTCCCCCTACTTGTGCCCTCTCTCTCTCTGTCAAATAAATAAAATTAAATAAATAAATAAATAAATAAATAAACAAATAAATAAATAAATAATCTGGTAATAAGAAAAATATGTTTACAGCAACGTTACAAGAGTTTTCTAGAATCACAAGATTATGCCAAAATCTGTTTCAAGGAATGACGTGGACATCACTCGTCTTAATCCAACCAGCAGTTGCAGCTAAAATACCTGAAATCCCCAGATATATATCCAAAACAAGAGACCAGAACAGCCTGCGGTCATCCAGTTGAAGTCACAGTCAAATTCAAACCCAGACCTTACATGGCTCAGGCAGCTTAATACTTTAGGAGAAATAACATCCGAGTTTTCCTTTCTTTGTACACTTACAAGTTTGTGCAGAGAAAGAACCCTAGATGTGGGGATCACGGCCAAGGCTCTATTTCTTCATCTAAAAATAGAGCGGTTGAGCTAAATCAGAGGCTCTTCACTAAAGGTCAGTCGAGTCTCTGAACTCCCTAAATTCCTGTAAAATGTCCTGTTTACGTGTGGATGTACATTTTTTACCCAAAGTGAGAGTCCAAATGGGTTCTTGACCAATAAAAATTAAAAGGTGCCTTCCAGCTACAAGACATTGAAGTTCTGGGCTTCCTCAAGTGGAATAGGAAATATTGAATATATCAACCCAATTGTAAGAAATTTGCTGCTAACGTGCCTGGGTAGAGCTGTCCTAATTGATGATGTACTTTCCTTCAACTCCAGTGTTTGGAAAAGGCGACCACCAGGAGAGACAAACCAAAGACCCTTCTCCCTATCAGTACCGGAAGCCCGCGGTTGAGCTGCTGGTGAGTCACAAGTGGCCTGAATCGGGCAGGGTCCTGAGGCACAGAGCCTGCGGCAGATTAGGAAGCAGACGTCCAGAAAAGATGCCCTCTGATATAGGCAAACTTTGCTTGAATTCATATATCCAGAAACATAATTACCTGGGATAAAAATGCCTATTTTTCATAGTCTACTTTATAAAATTTTATATTCCTTTTATTTGAATTAGCTATTATCGGTCTTCCTCTAAATCTGGCATTCAAGCATTCAGGAAACAAGCTGGTGCCAATTTTCAAACACAGAATACTTATGTGTTTAATTTTATGGACAGTTAAATTTTAAAGACGAGACAAGCTGGGGGTGGGGAATAATTTCTTCTGGAAAGAGTGCGGTATAGGGGTAGTCATGGTTGAAATAAAGAGTCTAAAGATCAGTGGTTAAATATCAATTCTACTGTTTGACCTTGATCTTTGCCGGTGAGAACCCTCCATCCATGCTGGAGCCCTCATCCCCAGGATGAGGGTAAGTACGGTGTCTTGTACTGCAAGGTTGTTGCCCATACTCAGTGAGGTAACACATCAGACAAGACAAAAGGTATTCCTAAATACCAAATGAAAACATTAACTTGGTCCCCGAGCTAACACAAATGTGGCTTCTCTGCGTGGGAAGCGCAGGGTGTGGGAGCTCCTTGTCTTGCCCCTGGACAGGATCTGGACGCCATGGAGGACAGCACTGAGATAAAAGTGGAAGCGAACACTTCCATGGCTTCCTGGATTCAGAGTCACCTGACTGCCCATGGGAAGAGGGTCAGCAGAGCCCTCAGTTACATCACCGGGGAGATGAAGGAGTGCGGCGAGGGGCTTAAAGGTAAAGGTCCTGCAAGCAAAGCCCTTGACCCTGCCCCTGGAGTGTCACTTCCAACCGTCCCCAGCAGGCGCCATGCCGCGGTTCTTGGTAGATTAGATTGAGTACCGTTTCTACGGTCGCTCAGAAGGAACAGGAGTTTTGCTGTGACGGCAGACATGCACTCTTGGGAGGTGAATACAATACGTGTCAGTGTGCGAGCCCTCATTTCCAAACCGAGCAGCCGTGCTCTCACACATACCCCATCGGGCATTTAGGCCTGGGATTCTAGAGTCACCATTCCAAAAAAAAAAAATGTCGGCCCTATGGATGACTCTTGGGAGAACTGTGTCTACTAGTCCAGTAAGTTCTCTCTCGCAATCCTCCCTCTGTGCACCAAGAGAATTTTCTTTTTGGATGTGTCTTCTTGAAAAATCATGCCGCTCTCACGGCGGCGGACAGATAGCTCAGGGTACCTTATCCCCACTGCTTGAAAAACAATGTAAAGACCACAACCAGCTGACGATGGGTCTGAAGAGTTTTCTGGACAGCCGAATGACCTCTTGGGTTCCTGGTGTATCCCCCTCTGTGGCAGGTGACGGTAGGGCCCTGCGAACCCACTTTGGACGCAGAGCTTCCCGTACCTTCCACCCACCCACCTGAGCCCCATGCAGGCCCGGCACACCTGAACATTGACTCCCTGCCCTGGTTCCATTTCAGACAAATCCCCAGTGTTCCAGTTCCTTGACTGGGTCCTCCGGGGCACGTCGCAGGTGATGTTTGTGAACAACCCCCTCAGCGGCATCCTCATTGTGCTGGGCCTCTTCGTCCAGAACCCCTGGTGGGCCATCTCGGGCTGCTTGGGCACTTTTGTGTCCACTTTGACAGCCCTCATCCTGAGCCAGGACAGGTAAATTCCAGGAGGCCCAGGGCCCGAGCGTGAAGCCAGAGGTCACTTCCTGCAGGGACCCTATGCCACCTTCCCATCGCCTTGCTGCTGGCCTCCGACCTCAGACACTGTTCAGACTAAGGACACTAATAACTAACAACAGCCACTCCCTCGTTATTTGGTTAACAGCTCCACATCACCCAGGGGAACGTGAAGGGCTGATGTCTTCCCTTCCCATTCCCAGTGGGGCCATCTGCTGGAAGGTGTGTGCAGTCGGGCCCCAACCGAGAAAAATCTGGGTCAGAAGGAAAGTCAAGAAGGCAGTGCCCCTCCTGAGGCCCTGGGGGGACCCCACTACCCCAGCCCTCCTCCACCCCCCCAGGTCGGCCATTGCAGCAGGACTCCACGGCTACAACGGGGTGCTGGTGGGGCTGCTGATGGCCGTGTTCTCAGACAAAGGCAACTATTACTGGTGGCTTCTGCTCCCCGTCATCATGATGTCCATGTCGTGGTAAGTTTGCTCCTGAGGCTGCGGGTGCAGTCAAGGGCTGCCAACCTTTTCACCCCAGCTCCCTGTCTAAACTCAACTTGAAGGGGGCATGGACTTCGCACATCAGAAGCATCCACTGGAAATAATTATTAATGTCATACAGTGACAGAACCATGCTAGCTGATCTGTGGACAATGTCTCAGTACCTACCAGCCTCCACTCTTCTTTGTCTAAGATCTAAAAGGGTTTCTGGTCCTACTCAGCCAGAGCACAGAGAAAGGAAATGAGGCCCATATATAGGTGAAGAGCCATACCACAGCATCCTATCCATTTCTAGAAACCTCATTCCTCCTGCTGCCCCCCACCCAGCTTTCCCCCGTCCTTGGGACCCCTGACCAGCCTGGGACAACCTCCTAGTGTAGGCTGAAGGACCAGCCGCTGGGCAGAGCCCTTAGAGGGTCAGGCCTTAGCTCCCCTTCCCCTCCAGAAATCAGCCACAGGGAATTCCGGGCAGGAGGCTTGGTGCTCTCAGCTGCTCAACAAACATTTGTGGAAGGAAGGAAGGAAGGAAGGAAGGAAGGAAGGAAGGAAGGAAGGAAGGAAGGAAGGAAGGAAGGAAGGAAGGAAGGAAAGACTACAATTCTGCTCGCGTCACTCCCCCACTCTCCTCATGCCGAAGCATGGCGCTGCATGACTTTTCAAGAAGCTTCTGTGACTCTTTGCCTTAGGTCTTCCCCCAGAAAGCCCTCTTTCTAAAGCTGAGCCTGGGCGTCTACCCTATCACCGCACCAGGCCCAGGGAAGAGGCCATGGAAAGATGTACTCAGGGGCCAGTCAGGCTCAGAGAACGAACCCAGCAGGCTGCTTTTCCTTGGGAAAGTGCCCCTGCTCAGCCTAGTGTCAGGGCCTGAACTTCTTGAACAGTCTCCTGTGCTTCTGCCACAGCCCCATCCTCTCCAGTGCCCTGGGGACCATCTTCAGCAAGTGGGACCTCCCAGTCTTCACACTGCCCTTCAACATCGCCGTGACCCTGTACCTGGCGGCCACCGGCCACTACAATCTCTTCTTCCCCACGACGCTGCTGCAGCCTGCATCCTCCGCACCCAACATCACCTGGTCAGAGGTCCAAGTGCCCTTGGTAGGTGTCGGGGAAGGCAGAAGGGCAGCATCTGTCCAAATGCCATGTTAATGTGGCATTTACTGCAGCCTCCATGGGTAATGACTATTACCCATGGTGTGGGTGTGAGGCACTTGGCATGCGGTCTCTCTTTAGCCACCATTCTTTTCCTTCCTCTCCGTAAGAGCTAACAGGACCATTTTTGGTCCCATGCTGTCCTAGCACAGAGGAAGAAACTGAGGCCTGAGGTCACACACCTAATCAGTGAAGAGCAGAGTTGAGATTAGCACTCTGACCTCCTACTGCTACACCTGGGTTCTTTCCTTTTTCCTTTTGGAAAAAATCTTTTTGATGATTTCCTCCAATTTTCCTCCAGCCTGCACTGTATATTTTCTTCCATTGGTCTCACTGAATCACTAAAGACATACACATTACACGACCACCTGTGGGCTAACGAAGTCTCTGTTGCGACCTCCAGAATGGATTGCATTCGCTATCTGAGGTGTGGTCACACCATAAAGCGCAGGTGTTCCTCCATTAAGAAATGTCTAGATATTAGAGCTTTTAACATTTTTTTGCAAGTATTTTGTATATAATGCTGGCCTCTGGAAGTCTGCCAAGATAATTAATAAGACACGTTTTCGCTAAGGTCCTCCTGCTTTCCATTACACTAGACTACCCTCCATGGTCTGGGGCTTGCTCTGGAACTTTGTTATTGACAAGTCATCATCTAACCACGAAATCACTTGGGCTTGTTGAAAGAACTTTCAGAAATAACAATGACTCATTTCTTGTAGCATTTCATAGAATACAACAGCATGGTAGAAAGGCCCTGCATGTGCACTAAGAAACATTATTTAGGATGAGAAATAATAATAATAATAATACATTATTTAGGAAGAGAAATATTCATGTTGGCCTCATCCTTGTTTGTGTGTGTGTGCGTGTGTGTGTGTGTGTGTGTGTGTGAGGACCTTTGTGAACCAGATGTGAGAAAAGGTTGATAATTCACTCATTAGGCTTCCCTTTCATGGTATGTACCCCATCAATCAGTTTTGAAGGCACAGTTGCTCTAACTGGTTGGCTATGGGGAGATGGTGTTAGAAAGGGTAACTTGAAGATATTATGCATTCTCTATGCCACATTTTCATTGGAAAAGATACCTAGGAATTTTGTAGAAATGAAAAACAATTAGGGAATCCCGTACAAATACTTTAGAACCCCAAAGTTCCAGAAAAGAAAAATTCAGTTTTTGGTGGTTGCCTTTTTTTTTTTTTAATTTTATTTATTTATTTGACAGAGAGAGAGAGAACAAGTAGGCAGAGCGTCAGGCAGAGGGAGAGGGAGAGGGAGAAGCAGGCTTCTCACTGAGCAGAGAACCCGATGCAGGGCTCGATCCCAGGACCCTGGAATCATGACCCGAACCGAAGGCAGACGCCTAACGACTGAGCCACCCAGGCGCCCCTGGTGGTTGCCTTTTAAGAAGTAACTCTAGCCAATTAAATGGATTATGATAATGACTAATATGTTTTGTCTTTTTGACCACTCATGAGAGCCTTGAGTGTTGGGGAGACAAGTAAATGTCAGAAGGAGGGTCTAAATCTCCCAACAATATTGAAGCCCCATGAGTTCCTCTGCCCTCTGGTCCCCAGAGGGCCCCCTAGATGGTGTCACCAGCTGGGAATACACTGCCCAGCACCGCTCCCTCTGTATCAAACTCTCCAACCTGCCCGCCCGCACCCACATGGTAATGCCGGAGCCCCCACCCTGTTCCCTGTTCCTGGGGTCACAGGAGATTGAGTCTGGAGGGTTAGCCCACTAGGCCACCCCACGGGCTCCTGCAATGTCTTCCTGTCTCCGCATAGCTCCAGGGGCAGAGTCTTCTCGGAAGGCAATGGGCTGAGAGAAGAGCTGCTTCCTCGTAATATATAGACACCCTGGCCCAGGACTCTGCTTCGTCTCAGCTCACTGCCCAAGGGGTGAGATGAACCCCAGTGTACCCTGCATGGCCACTCCCTTATGCACTTTCTAACTCAAGGGCCTTTGGCCAACCTTCCAAACCATGGGACCCAACCCCAGTCGCTGGGGAAGGCTGCATGCCCAGGATGCTTTTCTTGAACTCCAGAGCACATGTGCAAGCGCCCACAGGCAGTGGATCCTGCCTCCTCAAGCCCTTCACATTGGCAGACAGGCCCCGCTTCCCTGAGCTACGTGGAGGCCTGACGCAAGCTGGGAGCTCATCTATCGGTCACCATTTCATTGACTTATCAACCAAAGAGCAGAGACCATGATACTACCTCCTCAGAGACTCTTCTGTGAGTCCAACTGCTCACCCAGAACAGATTAACATGACCACAGCCCAGACACCTTATTCTTGGAAACACAAAATAACATTTTTTCATAGCATATTCAGCCTTTTAGTCGTAATTTTAGGGTTTTTTTTTTAAACATTACAAGAGAGTTTCGAAACCCCAACCTTGATCAGACATCTCATTTTAAGTTTCTAGTTTCTCTTCAGTGGGGGTGCAGTGCCTTATACTCATGTTTCTAAATAAAGGAAACTTAACATCTTAAACTATTGTTCTAAGAACTCAAGATTAAAACAGAAAAGCTTGTGTTCCTTTCAGAGTTCATCTATTTGGATACAAATATCTTGGAAACCTGCTGCAAAATGTTAGGGTAGAAACTTTGGCACAAATCTTTTCCAGCCAAGGTTCCAGTTGTCCCTGGTCTCCCTCTATAACTGCACGTGATTCTTTGCCCCCACAGCTTCTGAGAGCCATCCCTGTAGGAATCGGCCAGGTCTACGGCTGCGACAACCCCTGGACCGGAGGCATTTTCCTCATAGCTCTGTTCATCTCGTCCCCTCTCATTTGCTTGCACGCTGCGATCGGCTCCACTGTGGGGATGTTAGCAGGTTAGTCTCATCACTTCTCCCTTACTAATGGGCCATAAGGATGTTAGTGTCTGGAGTCAGCTCCAAAGAAAATGGTGACACGTGTCTTCAATACCCGTGACGCCCCAACCCCTGCTGATTCCCGCCAACTTTCACTCCTTCCATTATGCCCTGTTTCCCCACTTTGGGTGCCAGTGCCCTCATGCTTCTGTGAGCAAAAGCTGCCCTCCAGAAAGGCTTTGGTGTTAGCCATTTACACCTTAGTATAAATGTAAAGTTTGAGAGAGGTTAATTATAGGCATGTTTGTGTTTTACGTCTTATCTCGAGAGATGATACTCCAGTAGAGAACATTAAGATATCAATGAAGAAGGAAAAGTCCTCTTTCTTGGCAGGGGAGGGAAGTTCTCTGGACTGCTTCAAAAGGCCACAGAGTCCTTACTCCAAAAGCTCTCTTCTACCGTAACAGCTACACCACTAGGACTCATGTGGCTCTTTGGCCGTTTCTTCCCTTTAGTTATTTTTTTCACTGAATAAAATCAGAAGTTCTTTTTTATAAATGCCTAAGAGAATGGCTGGTCTGGGCTTTGAGCACTGTGGTGGTTTTAGGGGCCAGCAGGAGAGCCCCATGAGACCCCCCCCAAACTCAACACCGATGCCTGTCTTCTCTCGTAGCCCTCACTATAGCGACGCCCTTGGACTCCATCTACTTCGGCCTGTGCGGCTTCAACAGCACGCTGGCCTGCATTGCCATTGGAGGCATGTTCTACGTCCTGACCTGGCAGACGCACGTCCTGGCCATCGCCTGCGGTAGGGACTGCCACCACGTCCCTTTGCACCTTGCACGCCCCCGTGCCTGTCCCTGTAGGGAAAACGGCACTGAAAACCCTGTGGATCCTCCAAAGATAAATGGGAGGATTGTTTGCTTCGTAAAAGGCTTTTTATCTAAACCTGTTTTTGAATGGTTGATTAATGATTCACGCAATAAAAATTATTTTCATGGAACACAAAGCACTCAGCCACATGAAGACAGAATTTTGAGCTGGTGGTTGTTTGGTTGTTGTTCCTGGGCTGTCTCTGTGATTGCCACTCCCTGGCTGGTGATTGAAGCTAACCGACAGAGCAACTCCTCCACAAATTAATCTTTATATATAGAACTGGGTGATTTACATCAGTTACAGCAATTAACCTTAAGCACCCAAACACTAATCATAGGACTTTCAAATAATGCTTACGTTGTAGGAATGCTGAAGGGTATGGGTACTCAGGGACTGTCTAATAAAGATTTGCTGTTGTTAATACCCTAGGGACAATTAAGATGCTTTCAGTTGAGAAACAGGATGCAGAAGCAAAGCGCAGCTCCACTGGCTCATTTTCACAGAGCCTCCTCACCTCTTACTGGCTCTTGGCTCTTCCCAGTGGCCCAGCCTGGCCATGCCCTCTGCAGGCAGAGCCTGAAAGACGAGGCAGTGGGCCTATGTGGTCTTCCTCAAGCCTACAGGTTGCTGCTCCTCACTGGAAGCCCATATTCTGTTAATAACTTGGGATGAAATATTCCAGCAGGGAGGGCTGGGATCCACTTGGCCTTGGCCATAGAGTAAAATTTTCATGTATGGTTTATGCTGCTAAATGTTCCTTTGCTAGAAAGGAAGGTGGTGGGACCCAAGAGAACCATAATGGCTCCATTCTGGCCCTTTTTAACAAAGTTCATCTTCCACCTTAGCTGTGCTGGCATTTGCCTGGGATTTAACACATTTCAAAGCTGTCAAGTAAGAGAAGCATAACTCAAGTTTTATTTAATCGGCGAGATAGCATTTGTGGCCTAAATGTCTGGGGGGCTAATGTGTAGGCTGAGCTTGAGGCACCGCTAGTCACTGGACTGTGCCTTGGTTCTCTTTGCAGCCCTGTTTGCGGCCTACCTGGGCGCCGCGCTGGCTAACGTGCTCTCCGTGGTGAGTCTAAGAACGTGCCACACCACCCTTCCTGCTGTTCCTTCCGCTCCCCAAAGCCAGTGCGAACCTCTCCTCCGGGAACCCTTCCCCAATTCGTCCCTCTCGTCTCAAATCACACTGCCTGCCTTGGCACCTGCCAGACAGAAGGAGCTAGGTCTCAAAAGTTTCAGTGTCAACTGCTGGTCCAATCAGATCCCATTGGCCTTGGGCCCACGGAGCTTCTTATAGAAGGACAATTTGACGAGCATTATCTTGTAAATTGAATTCTTTCTGTCACCTCATCCTCTAGATCCCATTTTAAATCTTTATTATTTAATTTGTGTGTGTGTGTGTGTGTGTGTATAGAGCAACTGCCCAACTAGCTGATGGGCCAGTGTTCATCTTTGTTCATCCCTTGGCAACTCGGCGCTGAGGGGGTCGTGAGGGAAGCCTTCAGGGAAGACAGGGAACCAAGCTGCAGCCATACCTGAGAGAAGGCTGAGCTGGTGGCTATGAGCTGGTGGCTATGAGCAGCCGTCCAAGAACCCCATCTTTGTCTGAGTGCTGGTGTGAGCTGGTGTCGGAGTCAGGAGGAGCCGCATGGCCAGCCCCAGAAGAGGGTTAGGGCCCACGGCCCAGCACAGAGGGCTAGTGACTCAGCCCACAGTCAATGCCTCCCCCTTTTGGATAAGGTTTCAAGGGCACATTTTATAAAAGCAACCACAAAAAGTCCCAGTGGTCCTGAAAATGGGGACGAAGGTGGGCATTCTACCCACACCTGCCTAAATCCCTTCTTCACCCTTAGTGAAATTGGGCAGGTTGAACTTAGCTTAGGAAGGAATTTTCTAGGCAAGAGAATTGGCCTTCCCTGATACCATCCTATGTCCCCCAGTGGACTAAATCTCTCTCTGGGCCCCAGCGAATTGTGTACGTGCCTTTGCTACGACACTTGGAGTACGGTAGTGACGAGCCTCGTATACATTCTTCCTCGAACACCTTCAGCCTGTGTGCTCCTTCAGAACTGGGGCCCGGTCGTATTCCAGTCTTTATCTCTAGTACCTATTGCAGTACCCAGCACATGACAGGTGCTTAAGACATGCTGAATGACTGAAACTCTAGGGGAGCAAGCCACCACCATGGGGAATATAAGAGCTGGGGCTGAAGAGTCAGCCGTCAGAAACACGGACGGGTAGTAAGAGCATGGAGTATGGGCTCTGTGGCTCCTTGTGCTCCAGGCTTTCACATCCTGCGTGTACCCATCCTTACAGCTGACTGTCCAGGCAGTGACTGGGTGTCACGTGCTTTCCTTGGGCAAAGACTAGAAGAGATGCCAAACAGGATCCCAGGCACTTACAGGATGATTGGCCCTTTCTTCTGTGTACAGAGAAGTTAGAGGTTATACCACTCAATTTAGGCTTTTTTTTCCTAAATCAAGGTTATTTTCTGTGTGCCTATGATGTTTAAGCCACTGTGCTGATCACTCTCAAGGATATGAAAAAGTGCAGGCTATTTACTCACTCTGAAGGAATTTCTAATCTCCTTGAGGCACAGGATATAAAAATGTCGAGTGACATTTATGAGCCCCTTCGAGCCCTCCACAAATGAGAGCACTCAGGAGCTGCGTTTCTCTGCTTTCTCACCAGCATGCGTATGCACGGCCTATGTCTTCCACAATGCCACCGTCTACTCCACGGTCATGACCACGTGCTGAGGGCTATTTATGGGGTCCTTAGTATGCATGAGGCACCAACTCTCTGAGTAGACATTGTTATCCCTACTTAACTCTTGAGGAAATAGCTCTCAGACGATTGAAATGCCTTTAACAAGGTGGTTGGAGCTGAGATGTGGATCTGGGCCCGTGGGACTCTAGACCTACGTCTTTTCCCACTGTGGGACTCCGGGGGGTGCTTCCCAAAACACACTGTGTAGTGTGAGCAGGGCTTTCAGGAGACTCATTGGGTGGAATTCATTATGCCTGAGTATCTTATGGCCACGGTTCTGGCTGCCATTGTTCTTCCCCAAGTCCCATGCAGCAGCACCATCTTTGAACACACACATTACGGGCACATGGTATTATCTGAGGTCTTTACTGCTTATAATGAAATGAGGCTGGAGGTGGGGAGGACATGATTTGGTCTGCCTCAGAGTTGAGTCTGAAGGCTCCTTGTCAGCAAGCTCTCCACTCAAGTGATCTCAAGTAAGAGTGGGGAGGCATATCAAAAAGCCTCAGGGCATCTTAAGGAATAAAAAATAGGTCAACACCATGAGAAGGGGAGCTGGGAATGAGAGAGCCCTTGAGAAGAGAAGTCGCTGCCCTCCACTTCCAGGCCCTGTGACTAGGACAGCATGTCTCTGCCTCTCTCCAAATGTCTGTTCTGTCTCCCTGTGTCTCTCTGCAGTGCACACAGTCCCCCAGTGGCCACCCAGCACTGGTTGGCCCTCCAGTCCTTTCAGACCAAGAGCTCAGTCTCTCTTAGTTCAAATTCTCAAAAGAGGGATCCAATTCCCAGGCCATCTGCCTGTGGAAGTTGCATTTGAGTCAAGCACCTTGCTCTGGTCCAATCAGTTGTGACCAAAGAGAGAAATATCATGAACTACAAAATGACTGCCAAAGCTGTTCCTTCAACAGGGGCTATGGGAGAAGGCAGGCAATGGTCATAGTTCCTAGAGTTGGAGGTATAGCCTGGCCAGACAGCCTGAGACAAAACAGGATTTCTACATAAAGCCATATTATAATAGGGTTTCAATGGCTGCATTATGAAGAACGTGGGTCCACCTGTTACAATGCAGGCAGAGAGCACTGACATGATTACATTGGCCAAGAATTAAGTATTATTCCTACCATTGCCCACGAAGCATTCTGTCCTCACCCGGGGCTGTATAGGGTTGGTAAAGGCTGATGAAACAAACACAAGCATGTGATATAACCAAGGCTTCTCTTGTGTCTCCCCCCTGCCCCTTGCTCAGTTTGGACTGCCACCATGCACCTGGCCCTTCTGCCTCTCGGCGCTCACCTTCTTGCTCCTGACAACCAACAACCCCGCCATCTATAAGCTTCCGCTCAGCAAAGTCACCTACCCAGAGGCCAACCGCATCTACTACCTATCCCAGGAGAAAAACAGAAGAGCATCAACCATAACAAAGTACCAGGCCTATGATGTCTCCTAGACTGCCTTTTTCAAAACATGTCACCATACATTCAGCCTTCAGCAGGTTGTCTGGTTCCCCAGGCTGAAGACTATGCAACCTCCCTTTCTGTCTGTTCTGTGATTTTCCCCTTAAGCAAGCCTACACCCTAGTTTATTCCTCCACATAAGGACATATGTGTGTAGTCACCATTTAGGGACCTCTCATTTCTAAGATGTACAACACTTATCAAATATACAGTTAGTTTAGACTTCATACCCATAGCTCACTCCAGAAGAGCTCCCTTTGAGGGGATTTGCCCCCCTCTGCAAAATAAGTCACATCCCTAAAAAGAACTCATCAAGAAGGAGACAGAGATTGGTAGCATGGGCCTCCAACTCAGGCATGTCATGGAGCCATGCACAGTACCAGGGAACATGCATTAGCCTGGAAGGTGATGGGATGGTTCTGCCCCAGCCCTGCCTCTAGTGAGCTCCTGCCATCTTGAGTGAGCACAGCCCTGCTCTCAGCCTTGACTTCCTAGTTTCATGACAGGGAGGGACTCTACCGTTCTCCCACATCAGAAGTGTTGATTCTTCTCTCTTGCCCATAAACTGACAAAATCAGCATGACCATCAAGTAATTACTTTGAGTAAGTAATAGATGGAGGGCTTCCCTGGAGAAGAGGCAGGAAAATGTTAATATTCTGAGATGTGTTCTTGAGTCATGAGCAGATACTCTCCAGACTTGGTGTTAGGAAACCAAAGTCACTGGAAATGCCAACATGCCTTCCTTTACAAAGTAGAAATATTTCTGGAAATGTCATAAGATGAAAACTGATCTTTTTCAACACTCAAATCATGTTTTAAACAAATGTATTTTCTTTGGTAGTATTCATAAGCATTCTCTTATTAAATGGTTAAGTTCGCAAGATGGTATCAGGGTTTTCTTAAACTGGGGTTCACCTACCCTGTTCACACATTGCCCATTTGAGGGGTTTTTCATGGTCAAGCCAGTGTCTGCCTGCGGTGAGGATGGGTTACAAATCATCAGAAGAAGGTCCGATTCGCTGACAAAGAGAATGATATGGAAATGACCGCGGTCATTGTTTTTTGTTTGAGTAGAAGCACAGGTTATTAACAACACACCTTACTTTTTAGGGCATAGTCTTTTCGTCTTGCATCCCAAAATTACAAACCCAGCCCCTCTTGAATGGCCAGTAACTCTTGTTATTTAGTTACTCTGGTTACAGCGTAGAGCTCCTAACCCGCAGGACCCCTCCGTGGGAAGCCACGTGGCTCAGCCCTCCCACCCCTCCTCCGCAGGACAGGGATAAACCTTCCCCAGCACCTCAGGGGACACCCCCCCATCTTACACTCCCAAGTCAGTGTGATGGGGTGAGGACATAAGATGGGGGAAGAAGGCAAGGGGCAGGAGACACACGCTCTATAAATGCAGCGTTAAGGAAATAATTACATTTGACCAAAATCCATCATTTGGAAAAAGCTGGTGTCTATATTTATGTTTTCTTTCCTTGTCTGCCCTGAGATCCCAGCCATCTTCTGCCGGCCCAAGAGCCTTGGGCTACCTATTTCTCTACCACGTCATACCTAGCCATTATGACTTCTCCAGGAAAACGGAACACTTCCCGCTGGAAGAAAATCCCCCACATGGGAAAGAAGAATGCGTCACACTCCAGAGGCTACCTCTGAGTTTGTGATCACACCTTGAGGCCAGGAAGGTCTCAGGCTATATTTTAATGACCATGGAGTTGTGGCTCTCTGAAGATCAGGCATCCAGGAATTTCCCCAGATGGCTGCTTCTGTTCACAATTCACTCAGTTCCCCAGAACCCTTAAGTGATGACATCGAACCATTAAAATAGCCCTTTTCTGTGTGTTTTCCACCAAAGTGTTATAATCTGGGTTTATGAAGAGCAGGAAACCCTCCACACGCATACCATTCTGCTTACTGACCACTAACAAATCCCTTCAGCTGTTCTAAGGATTTCAATATCCTCATCTATAGAGCAAACTGAGTTGGCCCAGGGTATCAAGCAAGGTGGGACTAGATGGGATAAAAGAATTCAACCCAAGAAAATGTATGAAGGCCGCAGGATTTCAAGTCTATATCAGCACCTCAATTAGGCACCAACAAGAGGAGAGAGGAAGCCAGCTCCCACCAGTTCCCAAGAGTTGGCTGTGCAAGTCAGTGCATCTCTCCCGTCACACCTACAGCTTGAAATCAGCTGCAAGGGTAGTATTTCCACCACAGAAATCAACAAACTACAAATCTGGGCTTTCTCCCCCAGACAGCCAGCTTACCAGCACACCACTGCCAGGCCGGTGTGGCGGAAGAAGAGAACGACTGTAGGGCTCCAGACCGGAGGCTCAGAAACTAGGTACTCTAAGTAGGTGATCCAGCAATGCCATGTAGACGCCATTCCACGTAAGGAGGCATCTTCAAGGACAGCAAACATATTCTCAGGCGTTAAAAAAAGCTCAGAAGATTTACCCACCGAGTCCAACACTGAAAACACACCAGATGGAAGCATCCAAATAGAATAAATACAGGAAATGTTGCAAGGGGCACAAGGAGTGCAGGGAGATTGAACACTGGTAATGTTTGTTGTTCATTAGGACCAAAGGGGAAAAAATAGAAGGAAAGTACCTGTAACAATCTAAAGAGGAATACTACGTGATGGGGGTGGGGAGGGAAAGACAAAAGAGGCAGGAGAGCCTGTTAGAGTACTTGGCTTGTAGAAAAACTGGGAAGTTTAAAAAGTCTACAAGGAGGAAGAAAAGGGTGATAAGAGTAATCACCATGAGAACAAAATTAGAATCAGAATTTTGAAACTCGAAGAAAATTCCATCTTTCCAATTGAAAGCAGCAAAGGAGGGGGGGAAACTCCCCCCCCAAAAGATAGTAAGTACAAAAAAATAAACAGAAGGTAGAAACTGGTCATAATATAACAGTAATTGAAAAAAACGTTAACTATCAAATTTGCCACTGGAAGACAGAAACCCTCAGGTTGCACTTTTGAAAAAAGACTACACAATTTGCTGTTCACAAGAAAAGCATTTAAAACAGAAAGACATAAATGTTTAAATACAAAAAAAAATGCAATAAGATAAATAAATAAATACAGACCAAAAGAAAGTTTAAGGCCTTGAAAGGTGAAATTTAATGGGCACCTGGGTGGCTCAGTCAGTGAAGCGTCTGCCTTTGGCTCAGGTCATGATCCCAGGGTCCTATGATCGAGTCCCACATGGAGCTCCCTGCTCAGCGAGGAGTCTGCTTCTCCCTCTTCCTCTGCCCCTCCCCTCTGCTCATGCTCGCTCACACTCTCTCTCTCTCTGAAAATAAATAAAATCTTTTAAAAATTTTAAAAAGAAAAGTGAAATTTAAGGCCAAAAAAAAGTTAAAAAGCAAAGAATGATCTATGTCATTAATCATCAGGAAAATGCAAATCAAAACCACAATGAGATATCATTTCACCCGTCAGAATGGCTAGTATCAAAGCCAAGAAACAACAAGTGTTGGCAAGGACCTGGGGAAAAGGGTACCCTCGTGCTCTGTTGGTGGGAGTGCAAACTGGTTGCCAGAGGTGAGAGGTGGATGGTGGGGGAAATGAGTGAACTGTTTTTATTTTTGTTTAGTTTAAATAAATTTTAAAAAAGGAACAAAGAATGATGTAAAAAGAACATAGCACAAGTGTACATAATTATCACAAACACATATACTACATAAAAAATCAACCTTGAATGCATCAAGCAACAGTTGGCTGAACTTCAGGGAGAAATAAACAAATCAATAATTGTAACTTTAACCAAAACCTCAGAAACTGATATATCAAGAGAACAAAAAGTGAACAGAGATATCTGAGATACAAACAATAGAATCAGTAAGTGTGGGCTATTATTTACACACAGGATTCTAAACCCTCCACTCAACATCCCCCCTCCTAAAAAAATCAAGCAGGGAACACACAAGCATCCCTAGAATATATCAACAACATAGACTATGTATCATCACACCATAAAGCAAGCTTGGGATCATCACAAAATGCTGATGGGACGTTGGCGGGGGCAGCCACCTGGAGAGCAGGTCCTCAGTATTCAGTCATGTTAAGTATACAAACCCTCTGTGACCTAGAAATTCCCCTCCCAAGTCTGTCCAGTGCTCAGGGAAAGTATGCCCTGCTTCCACGGTGGCCCTCCAGGAAGGCTGTTTGTCCCAGTGTTCACGGTGGCAGGAGAGCTGGAGAAGGCAGAGGCAAAGCGGAGTGGGGCGCGCCGTGCAGCCCCCGCAGCCGGTAGCTGCCCGGGTCCACAGAGCAATGTGGATAGATCTTAACAACCTAGTGCTGGACTAAAAATCAGAACGTGGAAAAAAAATCAGAACGTGACATTTATGATCAATATCATTTGCATTAATTAAAAATGCACGCACATCAAACAACAATGCGCAGTTTGCAATTACTCCTACAAACAAATAGAGAAAAGGCAGTGGAGTATAAAAAGGAAAAGACATGCCCACTTTGATACATTCAAGAGAGGCGCCTTTCCTGGGCTGATGAAGATCACATGCAAAGAGTAAGCACACGGGTAACTCAGCTCTGCCAGAAAAAAAAAATCTTAACTGGGTGGGGCTTAGAGTTTGCTCTCCTCAGCCCATCAGAGCCTGTGGCTGGCAATGTCCCAGTGGCCCCAGACTTGGGGCAGGGTCAATCCGCAAAGCCCCCTGGTGCTCCATGCTGCGTGCACCAACATTTGGAAACATTCTGGCCAGGCTATAACATTTAAAATATGTATTTTATATATTAAATATAATTTTATATATTAAAATAATTCTGTGCTTTGCCTCCAAATTAGATGAGCATTGTAATCCCGAGAGTAACAACAGTAATGAGCTTGTTATGTATTTCCGCTTTTCAAATGTTTTAGAATCTCAGATAAAATGTGGAAAGAAAGGGAAATTTTGTTGTTGTAGAGAATGAAAGCAGTGGAGTTGAGATTATCAGCTGGGTTCACGAAGAGTGGGGAGCTCAGAGATAATAAATTCACCTCCCACAGTCATCAAACCTAACTGACGAGTCCACCAGGTTGGGTGTGGAAAGGTCCCAGCTCTGAAGTCAGGCAGAGCCGGTTTTGAACGCAGCCCTTCTCTGTTCCTTACTGGCTGGGGTTAATCTCTCGCCTGCAGCGCATCATCTATAAATGAGGATGATGCCCGCCGAGGCGCTGTGTTGATGTAGCGCTAAGAACCCCTGATA